TTTCAGTTTTTTTTGTGTATATGAGAAAAAAGAAAGATGTAAAAAACGGGGGGGGGGGGGGGGGAAATTTGTTTGTTCAGCTGTCTGGAGTTCAAAGATCTAACTGCAATTCAAGGGAACATAACTGAAGCAAGGTTCTCCCTCCTGGAGGAAAGGAAATCCTTCTAAATAAAGTCTTCGCAAACAGAAGACACTAGATTATATGTTTTCAGTCTGTGCAAAGTGAATGAAAAAGCCTAACCTTATGTATAAAAAGCCATACTCCTGTTTTGTAACCAATTAAACATCCGTTCTCCAGAAAGAATAGTTTTTCTGAACGGAAAAGAAAAAGTAAATCAAATACATTCTTTCACAAAGGCAATGTGTTCCTGAATATTAATGTGATGAGAAAGCTTCAGAAGTCAAACAGCTAGTTAGAGTGTGGGGTACTTGACAGTGCAAGATTAGAAGATGGAAAAGTATGTTTGTCTAGCATTTGTCTTGCATCTAGAACAACCTTATTGAACAGCAGCCCACAGTCACTGAAACTTCCATTTCCTCTCGGAAATTATTTGTAGGAAAGAAATAGCTATTTGTTTGCTCATCTGCCATTTCAAGCTAGTTTGTCACTCCAAATCTCAAAAACAGCAAATGCTTTATGAAATTAGCGTGAGAGAGAGGAGAGGGATCACAGCCAATATAACTAGGGAAAAAGGCCACTGAATTCCAGCTTTTATCTGAATTCCAAGTGGATCATAAGTTAGCACGGGTATCCAATTGTCTAAATGTCTGTCTGTGTAAAACTGCGTACCAGGCAGAACAATCAGAGGTCCATCTCTGTCCAGATGAGCAGGGCTTTAGCTGTGCAATGCCATTAATGCTAATGAAAGTTACAATGACAAAGCCCTTTTCATGTCCGTAAGACTTTCAGATCAGTCCGTCTGATTATATGGCCTCAATTTTGCAAGTGCTTTTAATCTCCAGAGCAAATTTGATAAAGCCCACATTATACCCAAATGCATAATGAAATCTGGTTTTACTTTTATGACTGCTAGAAGTTTTCAAATCTAGTAATATAGGTATGCAAAGAAACCCGTATTTATCTATTTGCAGTTTACAGTATAATTTTTTGAAGGTTAATGTTTCAGACACTGATCCAAAATCTCACTGGTTGAGATATTCCCACTTCTGATATTAATGCCACTGCAAGATGCGTGCAAGACTGCTCTGCATAAATCCAGTTTGCCTGTTTGGAAAAGAGATGGTTTAAGAGGGTCAGAACCCAAACTTGGAACTTCAGGTCCGCAGAGTGGTTGAAGTTAGAAGGCACTTTTGGAGGTCATCTGGTCCAATCCCTGCTCAGTTTGCCAGCTAAGCCTGCATGAGGTAGCTGTGGTTGTCGTTACTTGCATATATGTATAACCATGCGTGCGCCTGCCATTCAGGGGGGCTCTTTGTATGCGTCAGATTACTTGAAATGCATCTTCACAAAGCAGACAGAGGGCAGAAATCACTACATGCTAATAAGCATTTATTAATTTAGGTCAGAAAGTGCATTAATTTGGACTACAGGAATATTTGGAGGGGGTAACAACACAAGACTGAGTCATATTTTAAAATTCTTTTTGATAAAATGTGCAAAGATCTATGAACTGGTATCTCCCTCTACAGTTACATACAAACCTTGTTCTGCCAATGAGGTTTTTACCATGGCAGGGGCTAAGAACAGTTTTAACTCACTTTTCTTGTCTTCCTCACTATAAAATACACATACTAATCCTAATTCTGCATGGAAGAAGTTGTTACTTGATTTGTAACATTTATACAGCTCTTTCGAGTGCTTGTTCGTGACGTGTAACTTTAGCACAAACGGAGATTACACAAACTAAATGTTCAGGACCAGATTCTCCAAATCTTTGCTAGTACACATCATCCAGAAGATTTTTGCGATACCATCTGGGCAACATTTAATCACTCATGGAGCAAGTGTAACCCCTGTGGGCAGAGGTACCTACTGCAGGTAGAACTGGGTTCGCCAACCAAGGGATAAAGAATTAAGGAAAAGATGCTCTGTTTCATTGGCATAGCCTCTTTTACAGACCCCTGAGTGCTAAAGGCATTATTTCTATACTGGAAATATGTTGAAATAGTAGAAGATTAGTTCAGTCAGTCCCAGAGGATATCTCTGCTGAGAAATCACTGATGCGTTAGGAAAATAATTTTTTTCCATCTTCTTTTCTGAACCTTGTCCAGAAGACACAGCAAAGCCCCGCTAGTCAAAGGTTTTGTTACTGTGCTGATACACTATTCTCTTAGCAGTCCAAAACCATGGACATTACAGTTTGGGAATCCATTCCTCTTTTTGATAGAATCAGTATGCTTTGATTTCTTTTTCGCTTTCATTTCCGTGGAAGTAAGATTGATACCTATGTAAAAATAATCATCACTTTAGTAAAATTTAACAAATAATTATATTAATGGTATTTAGCTGTCTTACGTTATTATCCTTTCAAGCTCTTTGGCTTAAATTCTCTAGTTCAAAATTCAAAATAAAGAGTGGTTGATTATTTCAAAATTACTGTATTTTAGTTAATTGCTAACATAAAGTCAGCATTATAACTTTTGATGATCTTTGCTGTTGCATGACATCTCTATATCAGAGACACTGTAATGTAACTTCCAGAAGGATTATACGTAGCATTTCTTGGAAAGACTCTACCATGTGTTGGTAAAGATACACTATACGTTGTTTAAAATCACAGACAGCGGCAGTAATTTTTCAGTCTAAACTGAGGGACAGATTGGGCACATCTTATTTCACTAGTGAGCAATAACTCACAAAGGATATCCCTTTGAAATACGGTAAATATTTCCTAACCCACAGGAACATGATTTTCACAACTTACTACAAGTAGTAGAAGGGGGAATGAAGCTCCTCTCTGACACAAAAGCCTACCACGACTGCTCAGTCTTTCAGCATTCAGGTGCGAGGTCTTATATTTAGCTGGTCAAAATCTCTATAATTCCAGTGACTTTAAATAAGATATGCCAATATGTATCTCCTGTGGCTCTGTCCTTTAGCTTTTCTAAATATAGAAAA